CGACTGTATTACAAATTAATAGTCGTTTTCCTGTTAAATTAATATTTAAGATATAATTATGTAAGTATTAATAATAACGATCAAAATTACAAAAGTATTTAAGATGTTGTTCGTCTAATATTCTCTATAGCTGTACCAAGAGAAGGAATTGATTTCAAACTGAATAGATAAAATACTACTACTAATACGTATATTTAGAATAACAAGGGGTAAGGATAATATTATACAATTTTATATGATAGGTAGTAAATAAAAAAAATATCAACATATCTGGTACATACATATAAGTAAAATCTATAAAAAATCAATGTGCAAACGCATTCCAATATTCAAATGGGCATTTGATTTGATTATGACCCAAGGAATATCTTTGAAAATTTATCGTCGAAAAAAATAACGTACGGGCTTCAATTCTTTTCCTTGTAAAACTTAGTGGATATTGTGATAGTTAAAAAACTAGATCTTATAGATCTACATTGTTTCACAATGAAATTATTATTAAAGCTAAATAGTATAATAATATAAGAATGATCGATCACGCTTTGGGCCTGTACTATAATGCCTCCGATTCAAATGAACGCTGGCTAGAGACGGCTCGTAGCTGATTTGTTTATTTGGAAGTCACGTATCTACAGAACGAAAAGTCAATCCAGTTCACAAGCGTCACGATGAGTTTGCAAATGTTGACATTACTAACAACATTGGCGATGGTCTATAAGCTTTATGACGGTGTAAACAAATAAAAAGCACAGGTTAGTGTTGTTTCTTGAACGAATTCCACAAATCTATTTTATTATTATTCTCTCTCTCTCTCTCTCTCTCTTGCCTTCTGTCTTGCGAACAATATCTGTACATGTAATTTGTTAGAGAAAGCTTTTATGTAAAACTTATATTTTCCATATAGCCAAGATGGGCTTCCATAAAAGTTAACACATTGATCACTAACCATATTTTGTATTTAAAATTATGTTTTTCACTACACATTATCGACCGTCTTTGGTTTTATTTAAATAAACATGCATTTGCCCTATTTATTTTTGTACTTAAATATGATTTTAATGAAAAATAATAATAATTTGCTTTATGTATTAATTAATATAATACAAAATTAGAGATAAGTTTGTGAATTTTTTCGTTTAATAAATTGTTTGCTTGAGCCTCACTTGATCACAGAGACGTGGATAATACTTTATGCATAATAACTTGGAAAAAAAATGACAAATTTTATATTTGTTAATACCCTAAAACAAAATTACCGTTTCTGAATTTTATTTTCTGTAATAAAAAATGTGATGAAGTCACTTAAATCTCCGAATTTAAGCGTATCAACACCGAATAAAGGATTTTTATTAAACCATATAAATGACGTCATTTCACGCTTCCGTCAATGTAATTTATTTCAAAGTAAAAATTTTGAATGAATACTACATACAGCATTACGAGCATAATAAAATAAGGGTTCCTTAATGTAAGGTGATTCATTAAACTAAAACACCTCGGCATATTAAACATTTAAACTGTAACAAGTCCTAACAAATATCATAGCCTTGTGCTAATCCATAAAATGAAATGTAACGTAGTTACAATTTGAACATATTGATACATAGTGCAAAATATATACTTATTGTTATGGTCCTCATATAATGTTAACATATTCACAACTGTCTATTTTTCTAATTAAAATTAATTCGATTTCCACAAAATATAATGATGTTGAAATACTGTTATATAGAGATGTAATACATAAAGATGTATAAAAACATTGTTGACATTGCTTAAAATGTAGTTTTATTTCCCCGATCATACTATACAGAGGCTCCTAATAGGTGCTTCAGTACATAAAATATGTATGTACATCTTTTTTTTATTGCCTAGATAGGTGGACGAGCTCAGAGCCCATATAGTGTTAAGTGGTCACCAGAGCACATTGACATTCACAACGTAATTGCCGCCAACGACCTTGAGATACCAGCAGTCGCAAAACCATGCCAAATCAATAAAGGTGCTTGTAGGTACACGACAGAGACCGATAGTCCGAATGTTGTTCATTCAAGCTTATCTTGAAAATGTCGTAAGCGAGATTCAGGCATCCGTCAAACATCCCGTATTCTGTAATGGCTACCGTTACAGTGCTGACTGGTAGGTAAGCTCACGGGCTCAACTTTAGAGAATTACTAACACTAGACTGTACTACTAACTACTAACACTAACAAAAGAATTTCTTCGCTGAATCTACCACCGGATCGGAATCGCGACCCACTGAAAAGATTCGACAAGAAGCTCAGTAAACTACGTCTATGGGCTACTTCCCACGTCTAACTCTAATCGACAAGTTCGATGAGGGCAGTGAGGATAGCGGATCCGGAAGATTCCTATGAACGCGTCGAGACGCCTACCGTTCAACATTCGTTCGATGGCAGTTCCACCTAGTGGCAATTTAAGTCGCCTGCCAGAATGATTGCGTCACCCATACCGAGCAGTGTCTCGAGGTCACTGCTCAGGAGGAGTTTGTTAGGGGGGAGGTAAACGGATGCGATGACGATCGGCTGGTGTCCCGTTAGCGCGATACGGCACACTGATGCCCCGATATGCAAGAGCGAGGGAGTATCGAGCAATGGCGGATCCAGGGGGGGGGTCATGACCACCCCCTGAGCTGGTTCCAGGACTTAGGTGGACCACTAATTGAATATAATGATTTTATTTATATATTTTGTCACCATACAGATTTTATGTAACTACATACCTTCAATATTTAATTAATTTAATATAATAACTTTGTATAATGGCAAACGCTTGGGAACGAACGCATCTAAATTTGACTATGTGACCCCCTCCTGGCGCCAAAGCTGGATCCGCCCTTGGTATCGAGAGGGACGCAGTGCAGGGCCCGTCTATAGTAAATGACAGTCCCGCACTTGGGGGCGTAGAGTCTGTCATTCCTAACCATGACGTAATTCGCGACTTTGGGATCGCGACGCGAGGGCTTAAAGAAGGTCTCCTGCACCAGAAGGATGTCAATGAGATTATCGCGGAGAAACTCATGAATTTGGTCGCGCTGACGCACGAGTCCGTTGGCATTGTAGAATGCTAACTTCAAAAAAGAGGGTTTTTCCCTACAATTATACGCCATTGGTTACCGGTAGTTAGACCAGCGTACACTGTACGGACTCGATAACGTCCATGTGGTCGAACGTCGCGTGTATGCGTTCCTCGGCCGTTACCACCTGTAATTACGCAAATTATATTTTTGCGGGTTTGATTTTTATTACACGATGTTATTCCTTCACTATGTTAGTTTTGTAGTGTCACCTTGTCACGAAGGGAGAATATACTGCGCTTGAATTGTTATCCTTTTTGAAGACTTGTACCATCACACTACAGGTCCATATCAGTTGCACATTTCAATCGAGTATGACTATGACGGAATTAAATAAATTCTGAAGTTTTTCCAACCGCCTTCAGTAGTTCAGATAATTACATCATCACCTGGTGCCCCGTTGTCCTAAAGCTGTTTGAGTCATTCTAATATCGAACAGGCTGACGTGGGGGATATCTTCGGTTTAATGTCGGATTAATCTAGCTCTTGGATCCTTTGTCAGTCTCCACAGGTTGTCGAGTAAATGCGTATTACTGCCCATAGAACTCCTCGATCGCTCTCAGGCTTGGACGAAATGATCCTGCCAATATTGGTTTTCAGTTTCGTCAACTGGCTCTCCCCAATAGACAGATCCTTTGTGAACACCTTGGAAGTTTTGTTTTGCTCTACAGCCTCCTTATTAAGCTCAGTATTAAAACGGCATAGATTGGATTCAACAGACTTTGAGATATGTCTGTTGAGTTGCCAATATTTACACGAATCTTCTGATGACTGCAAGCTCATCATTCTAATTTCGTCNTTGGTTTTCAGTTTCGTCAACTGGCTCTCCCCAATAGACAGATCCTTTGTGAACACCTTGGAAGTTTTGTTTTGCTCTACAGCCTCCTTATTAAGCTCAGTATTAAAACGGCATAGATTGGATTCAACAGACTTTGAGATATGTCTGTTGAGTTGCCAATATTTACACGAATCTTCTGATGACTGCAAGCTCATCATTCTAATTTCGTCCATGGGGTCTCTTAGGCAATCAAGAGTTTTAAAGTTCAAGCTGAAAAGACCTACGAGTTATGGTATTTGCTGATGCTTGACAGAATGTAAACTTCAGACAGAATCTGTCCAACTTGATATTGAGATTCAATGTGCCTGTTACCATCTGATGATCACTTCTAGTTTTAGCTGTACTGATTACAGGTATTAAATATTTGCTTTTTTGTTGACATAATGAATTTGTGACTATATAGACATACAATAGTTAGTTTTTTTAATCAGATTCCTGAAAGGATATGAGATATTTCTGTCTCAAAGATTTAATAAAAAAAACATTGTATCCCATCTTGTTATCCTACAAACTAAAAACTAAAATACACAATGTTCTTATATGGGTCCTAGTTACTATGTAGAAAACATATAAAAAAAAAAAATCCTGTGCTGATAGCCTTGAGAGGCTATTTCAGTTTATAATTGACGTGTAGGTAAGATCACGGGGTTCAAACCAGGAGTGTTGCTAACACTGGCCCTAGCAAGAGCAGTGCTTCGCAGAATCTACTACCGGATCGGAAACGCGACCCACTGAGAAGATCCAGCGAGAAACTCAGTGAGCTGTGTCTATGGATTAATTCACTCATTACTTTGTCGAACCCGTGGCTTGCGACGAAGGGCTCAACGAGGACTGTGACCGGAGTTTGTGTTACATAAAAGCAAGTTAATGGATTGAATAAAATTGTAAAATGCCTAACAAAATCCGAAATTAATCCTTTTAAGAAATGCAATAGGTATTACTTTGTAAACTATTCTAATTTTATTTATTGTAGGAAAAGATAGTGTAGGAATTAATGCTCTATAGATGTATACTTCCTGCAACTCCTGGTGATGTAAAGTTAATTCACTGCAATTATTATGAAAATTTATTGATGTATATATTTTATTTTACATTAACATTGATTAAAGTTGGTGCAATTATTGGACCTTTTCCTGGTACAATTATTGGATTACCCTTATAACAGGCTATCTTTTCATTATTTGTTTTTAAATCAGGTGCACAAGTCTCAAATATTTTCTTTTTGGGATTAAGCACAGCTTCAGGCTCTCTAGGATATCCTTCACATACAACCAAATCCCCTGGTATAGCATCAGGTGGAGGTATTAAAACTTCAACTTTTTCAGCAGATGATGCACACATTACCATGGCTTCAGATGTTACACCTCTCATCTAAAAATATATTAAAATTTGGAAATGAATTATACCATATTATAGGTAAGATTTTGTTTACTGAACTATAATATTAATACCTTAACTGGTTTCAAGTTGCAGAGTACCATAACTATTCTTTCTCGCATTTCATCTATTGGAACATGGTTTACTAAACCAGACACAACAGTTCGTGGATTTTCTTCACCGCAGTCTATTTTTTCCACATACAAAGAATCAGCATCAGGGTGTTTACTAATCTCAACAATTTTTCCAATCCGAAAATCTAGTTTCCTTACATCTACTGCTATATCAGCCGATTCACTAGGTTTATCTTTGGGTTTTTTGTTAGAATCTTTGACTTTCTTCTCCTTTTTATCGATAATTGGTTTTTCATTACAAACGGAATCTTGAATAGTTGTAACAATCTTGGTTGTTTCCAGCAGGTCTGTTTTACCAGGTATCGCATACTGCCTCTTTCCGTGTGATATTTCCAAACCTATTAACTCTGCCTTCGCAGCGTTTACCTTCGCCGACAAAGTAGTATTTTCTTGTATTAGCTGTTTGATCTTTTCTTCTATTTTAAACTTTTTCACCTCTTCCAGCTTTAGAAAAAAACGTGGAGCAATTACTAATCAAGTGTTTTAAGTGGCTTAACATAAACGACATCAGAACAAATTGTTTATTACTCCCAAAGAATAAAATATAATGCTATATTAGTGCTGGCTAAGGAGCTACCAGGTTTTTTTTAATATGCATTATTAGTATCCTTAAAAACCGTACTTTTTTTTCAAACGAACCTTTTTACGTAATTCGGCTAGCCTTTTTTCAGCTATATCTGCATTATTTATAAGTTTCGTAACTGACTGAGACATATTTCTACGCAATACAAATGATAATTTTAACATAAATGATAAACAAAACGTTAAGATATACAATTCTTATTTTAAGGTTAATTGAAAGATAATACAGTACACTTTTTTTTTTATGGGATTTTATGACCTGGTAACTAAGACCTGTAGGCCAAGTTTTATTTTAATTTTAAAAATACGTAACTTTTTTATATGAAAATGATATTATGAGATGAAAGGAAGTTAAATATTATGAAAGATGGCATGAAGTGAAATGAAAACGAAATGAAATGAAATGAGATGAGATGATATGGGATGAAGTATAATCTCAGTAAAATGGTGATCATTTACTGAGACTTTTACAGTGGACTTTGGAAGATCCCGAGAAGTAACGTTCAGTATCTTTGTTTCATTTTCCCACATTTGTGCACTTTCACAGATACTAAGCAGTTAATAAACCACCGTTATTACACATTTAAATCTGAAGAAACACTAATGAGACAAAATAAAACAAATCACACAACTTCACTCCTCGCGTTCCCGCCAAAAAGTCCGTGTACACCGAAGTTGACTTTGTTGTGCCCATATATACACTTAATATATTTGAGTGTGCCCACAGAACACTATAATCTCAATGAAATGGTGGTCATTTACTGAGATTTTTTTCAGTGGACTTTTTGGAGGATCCCAAGAAGTTACGTCCAGCGGCTTTATTTCATTTTCCCACATTTGTGCACTTTCACAGATATTAAACAGATAATAAACCACCATTATTATATATTTAAATCTGAAGAAACACTAAATAGGCCAATTAAAACAAATCACACAACTTCACTCCTCGCGCTCCCGCCAAAAAGTCAGCTATTATATTGCAACTATAATCTACACTCTATACAGTACATTTTACATCGCTGCAAGAATGCGTCCCCGACATAGACCTATATAGTAGGGACACGACATATTGTTCTATACGTACAATTGCTTATATAAATAGCACCCATTTTGAAGGCACACACATAAACATATATCTATCTCGTTCTTACTCAGCACTTTAACTCGCAGGAAAACAATATAACAGTATTTCAGTGCGTACATAAAATGAAACATGAATACACGTAAATGTCTCCGTCTCCGTCTAATGAGGCCGAAAACCCGCCATGCTTAGCGCGCCAAATGCATAGACCTATATAGTAGGGACACGACATATTGTTCTATACGTACAATTGCTTATATAAATAGCACCCATTTTGAAGGCACATACATAAACATATATCTATCTCGTTCTTACTCAGCACTTTAACTCGCAGGAAAACAATATAACAGTATTTCAGTGCGTACATAAAATGAAACATGAATATGTAGTATACGTAAATATCTCCGTCTCCGTCTAATGAGGCCGAAAATCCGCCATGTTTAGCGCGCCAAATGTCATTGTCACGTCAGTTCGGCCGTCTGTTTTGGGTTGTACATTATTTATTGACTTTGATATCGATTTCATATGATTGATTATATAAAATTTCATAATTTATCATGCTTAAAACATACAAAAATAATAATTAAAANCTTGACACGTCCACGTTGAAACTCAGCAAACCAGCGATAAATTGTGGTTTTGGATGGGGCTTCATCACCAAATGCAGAAATCATCCGGTCAACACACTGTTTTTGTGTTAAACCACTTCGAAAGTCATAATAAATCATCACTCTTGAATTTTCTCGAGTCAATTCCATTTTCTCAACGACTAAACAAGTTTGACAAAACCTCGTGACGAGACCGAGAATCTTTTTTTAAATAAATAAATGGTATTCGATTTTTAAAACCAAGGAGTTTTCAATTAAAAAGATTTTAATATGACAGGAACAGTGGAAATATTCCATTCCCGATACTTTTAGTGCAGCCTAGTATATAGCAGCCGTGAAACAATAGAACTGAGGTTCGACCTCAAATCTCAAGATGGGCGGCGGCATTCATCTATGATATCCGAACCACGTCTAATATTAGATATGCCAATGCGTCGTCTGCTCTAGCGAAGTGAAGGCTAATGTGAGGTATAGGTACTTTATCAATACACAATCTGTCGTTTTTGTTATCTTACCAGTTGGGTGCAAATGAAGCTATTATTTTCTTGTTATTAGAAACGGAAGCAATTCTCTAAGCGACACGAACGTAAAAGTTTTATCGCGCAACTTCTAGTATTAATTTATTTACTTCGACACTAGAGAAAATTGTTTCCGTTTCATATTAATCTTGATGAAAATATAGATGTTAAATAGGATTATAATCAAATATTTATTGAAACAAATATTGCTTAAGCTCTTCTTTCTCGGAACGATAATATCTGTTCTAAGAAGCTGTAAATAGCTCTGTTTAGATTTTAAGATTGAATCATTTAATAGATTCCAGCGTACTTACTCTTTTATCTTATCAAGTTCACTGTAAATATCATTTTCAAACGAATATCACAATTAAATGTTTTAAATCAGTTTTAACTATTTTTTACATTGGTATAGTGTAAATTTAATTCCACGATACAAATCTGTTATCTTTTCATTCTTTTTTCTTTTTAATTACTGTCGTCATTCACCTCATGACATAAGGTTGACTTCAATACAATTGGATAAACGACTTTCGAACGTATGGGCTACATGCGTAAGTTAATTATTGCTTGTTGATGAAGTTTGCTTGTAGCTTGATTTTCGTTTGCGGGTAACTAACACAGAACGCATGATATTTGATAGATGCCTGAATCCCGCTAACGAAATTTCACAAGATAAGCTTACATATCGACGCTTGAAAGGCAAACGTGACTAAGCGACAATGCGTGAACTTTATAGTAGACTAATTTAAAGTTGAAATACCTGAAAATAAAAGATAGAATCTAGCTAGTAGCTGTAGGATTGGAATGATTTTAATAGACCTAGAAATATATATTTTTTGCGCATCGAATATGGTCATTGCCTATCATTTATGTACCAAGCAGTTATTGTCGCTTAGTCACGTTTGCCTTTCAAGCGTCGATATGTATGTAAATGTTCCAAACAATAGCATTTGGACCGTCGCGGCGTCGGTCTACTGAGGAATATCACCCGCTGAGAGATCTCCTCTTTGACGTTACTCTAAAACGTTTTGTTATTTTATTAATTATTTTATTAAACGTTTATTAATTAAAACGACTTTTACGGTTTATTCTCGGGTTTTTTGCTCATCTCGCGAGGTCACGGACGACGAAAAACTGTACAGTACTGAAAGCGTCGAAATAATATAATGACAAATTAAAAAGGTGAGATTAAGCGATTTAAGTAGTTTTAATTATGTTCACAAAGTGCGAAAACAGAAGAAAATACTGAATCGGGTTTTCACATGAGCAAATGCATATAAGGAAACGCGGGCACGTTTAGTTTAGAAAAACCGATTCCTTTGATAAGATATTGAAGCAAATTTATTATACATTTTACATCATTTGCGGACTACTGCCATGTCATTTCGAAGATCCAACCAAGACGTTTTATGAGTAACATACCTATATAGGCATAACTACAAGAAAACTATTCAAATTTATCGTGACTCGTTACTTCATATAAATTGTATCATTGACCTATTTTACGGTGCGATGCGCAAGGCGTGCGTACACCTACAATTGAAAACAAAAACACCTATGAACTAACTGTTTTATACTCGGTGTAGTTTATTATTAGTAGGAACCCAAAAAGAATCAATTTAATTACTTATTTTAAAGTAATCTTATTAATGTTGTGGTCTATAACAGCATTCAACTTAGACGGCTCCGTCATTCTGTCTTTACTCTTCTATACTAATATTATAAAGAGGAAAGATTTGTTTGTTTGTTTGTATTGAATAGGCTCCGAAACTACTGAACCGATTTGAAAAATTCTTTCACTCTTTGGAAGCTACACTGTTCCCAAGTGACATAGGCTATTATCTTTTTTGAAAAAAAATTGGGATCTTTACTAAAACTCCAATAATGTAACCCAAGGTGTAAAAAAAATACCTAAAATATTCTTTAAATTGCATGCTCTGCGAAAACTATTGATGATAGAATAAAATAATGTACTACGACTTTGTAAAACACATTATTGTTTACAAAAAGTGTCGCAACAACATATGTCTAACTATTATAGTTATTATGCCGCAATAACTGTTCTTTTATTTAAAAAAATTAAAATAACGTCAAATATCGTTGAAATTTTAGTTAAAGACCCGAGCGAAGCCGGAGCGGGCCGCTTGTTAATTATAATAATGAATTTGTTGTTCAAATAAGCTTACACGATCTTAAAGTTGTAATCTTTTATTATATCAGAAACCTCGCCACCTTGAGTTTTCATTCGTATTTTCTTACCGTTTCTCTATAGTAATTTTATTTTCACCTATTTCTAAATCTCAATTTTTTTGCTCCCGATTGGAGAGGTATTTTATGTACCAGTTAGCTTTTCCATCATAGTTTTTAATTTCTACCGTGAAACAATAATGTATTCGTGATTTTAAAACACGAAACCGTTATCTCATGCAGTTAAAGTTCTGTCGCAAAGATTAAGACGTCATTTCCGTTGGGCTTTAGTAGCCACTAGAAGCTAGATAGGACTTGAATTCGTCGGCGCAACTATGAATTATTTCCAAAAAAACAAAAGAACAACAGAAAATGTCAATATTTCCCTCATATTCATTTGTTAAATGGATCCAACTATCTCATTCAGCCCGTTTGATACAGCCCTTACAAAGACGCTAGAGTTTCATGACTTTTATTGTGAAAGCGAAACACACACCCGAATAATATGAAAATAACAGCAATAGACCTCATATACAGACGCTATGTAATCCACTCACGATCAAACAAAACGGTCCACTCCTGCATTCATTCCTTTTATAAGTATTACTTGTTGTCTCTCTCTCTCTCTCTGTCCCCGCAATAAAAGATAACCTTCCTTAAAAGGTGTAGCAATATTTATGTGAACAGAACCTTCTTGTGTAAGATAAATTATTTATTTTACGAGCCAGCTGAGTAATCGGACCTGCAAGGGGACGCTCGTAAATTGTAACGAGCTAAATAGATGGGACGGAGTGAAAGAGCGATCATAGCATGATTTAAACGTTTTGTTGAGGCCGGCTGAGTAATCGTTTCGATGAATGATTTTTGTATATCTTTGTATATTTTAAGCTGATCAACCCATAGTATTTCAATCGTAAGAATCCTGCAACCACGCGTTGTGGTTTCAATCTCAATGATGCTTGGTTTTCGGACAGCATTTATTCCCTACCTCGTTGATGGTTAAAGTAATGTTCTACAGATATCGAGTTTAATTCTTTATCGTAAGTATCTTTGTTAAGCATTTTTGGCCTTCAGGAATCTGGTGTGTTTGCTTGTCCGGGCGCCAAATTTAGAATCCTTAGTGTGCGGTCATTGAGTACTTAATATGGAACATTTTTAACATCAGAAAGTTGATAGGAAAAAACACGGCATCAACTCATTAAAATTAACAATTGAGGGCATTCAGAAAAGATAACAAAAATCACTCACCATTTGTCATCGTCTTCCAGGTGGTAAATCCCGTCACTACTAAGACGGTAACAGGCGCGAACAAGGTCCGCCTGTGCTGTTTCTGATATGACCATCTGTTCGAAGATATCTGACGGTATCTTATAAGGCAAAACTGGGTGGTACAATGAGGCATCACCACCAAAGAGACACTAAAAGATAAAGAAAATATGCATGTAATATGAGTTTTGTTGCTTTTAAAAGTATAGGTAAATACCAAAGGCATGTTACACAAGCATCAAATTATCACTCATCAAAAAGGTATGTAAAGGTTAAATTGGCTTTTTGAAAGTTGAAAGATGAAAGAAGAAAGAAGCCCGGCTCCATATGTTATGCTCCTTCTGTCTCTTGCTTTCTAAAGCATAAGTCAGGACTTATGGCTTTTTGTGGTAGCGAATCCGGTTTTTGAAGTTATACTTCTTTAGGTGCGTTATGAAAAATTGATGTGAGTGAAATTTTAAGCTGCGCGCGCACCGTGATACAAAATTAACAGAATGAAGTTGCCCACTAAATCGCTCATTACAATACGACCGACGTAACTTGGCGAGCCTGAATATAGCTGCAGGTGAACTTTCCGAACCGTACCGAGAATTACCGAATTTATACGATGTCAAGAAAAAGGATGTCCAATATGCGTGTTTGAGGGTGTTGTTTAATCGATTTTTTTTCAAATTGATTAAAATTTAAATATAAAAAAAGAAATAAATTTAATAAAAATAAAGTATAGCTTTTTACGCGCGTATATAAGTACACGCACCCTTTTTTAAATAAGAAAATGCTTAAAAAGAAACTCAGGTCACGTTTGGTCTCTATTAACATTTTCGGCCACAGAGTGCGAGTTCCCTAGCGATTCCCTAGCCGTGGGAATCTCATAGGTGATGCTCTCGGCTAGTAAAAAAAGGCCTGATGTAATACTATGAACTCCTGGCTGATGCTTCTAATCTTATCACCCTTAGGATATTTCTGAAGAGCGACATTACTTTTTTTAAACAAGTGACTATCAGAATATTGTTCTTGAAAGACAGCTTATGTTCCGATGTGAATGTGTGGATGTAACTATTTACCATAAGGTAGAATTCAAGCTGTCTATTGGCCCTGTAAAAAATCCCACCGATTTCTCCAAGAAATCCTTCCTAGTATACTCACAACAAAATATCCAGCTTTGGAGGAATGATTACAAGACCTTATTTCGTCCAGATAATACCGTAATAACGCCGGATTCGTTTCATCTCCACCGTCTGTTCCGTAATGCATATCCACAAAATCAATCTGTGAAACAGAATACCATTTAGATTTGGAAGAATGTAGTACAGCTCTGCTTAACTATTTTGTGAACCAATAAAAAAAGAAGAAAAATTTAAGAGGCTAACATTTTATTTTGATATTAGCGCGACTCTGAGCGCGTCTTAAAATGAAAATTGCTTAATTTTTTTACGACAAACGAGTTGTGGCCATGTTCAGAATACGAATAAGGATCTTAAGCAATTTTAATATTATTTAATCATGTTATAATGGATTTCCATACGAAAGATAAAAAAAAATATTTTAGTGTGATAAATAAGGTATTTATAATTTTATCTTTTTAGTAAATCACTTTATACAATGTTGGTAAAATTTGAAGTGTTTTCTAACATATTTTTTTTATTAACTCGACAAATAAAATGAAAGACGCGGCAAATGAAACAATCTTGATACGTGTCGTCTGGGTTATGCCTATCGAAGTAATTGTCAGTTGAGTACATGGATGATGTGGTACTTATTAAATTTAAGAGACTTAGTGGAGAGTAAATTCTGCAACTTGACAGTATCGCACTTCTAAACTGTTACTTTGTATTTGTCTGAATATTAAGGTCCAGATTTGGTCTAGGGGCTTTGAATGTAAAACCTTGATATATTGATAGTATATTTGTTTGCTGTGTTGTTGTTTGTTGTTTGTCACGCTTGGATACTTTTTTAATGCATAAATAGTTGGACGAACTCAGTAGTTAACAGAGCCTATAGACATCTACAACGTAAATGCCGCCACTCACTTTGAGATATGAGATGTAAGGTCTTAGTATAGTTACAACGGCTGCCCCACCCTTCAAACTGAAACGCATTACTACTTCACGGTAGAAATAGGGAGGGTGGTGGTACTCATCCGTGCGGACTCACAACACGTCCTACCACCAGTATCATATGATAGTTTGATTTGATATTCGGAAATAAATATCGGATTTTTGATATGTAGATACCCCTAATCACTCAGAGTTGACTATACTGTCAAGCATTCTATTTCAAGCCATGTGTACTAGAGTATTTCCTTGCCACGAAACTTGCTATCGGATGCATATTGAAGTCACGAACGCCAGCCAAAAGTTACTGCTGAAGCGGAGTTTCAGCGCGAAATGTTTGCAGTTACACGTATATATTAGAATTTAATGTGATGCAGGGTTGGAGTTAGAGATTACGTTTTGGTGGATAATTAAATTTTTATTAAATAATTTTGTGAGTTAACATGAGAATTTACTAACTTTATTTATATTATTACAGTTAATCAGAAGATGCAGGTGTGTGACCTTGGCTACTTCGAGTTTCTACTCTATTTCCCTATCATGTGCTGTGGCATTAGTTCAGCAATTAAGAGGATTGCTATCAGTCTTCGTTTTTCAATATACCAAGGATAGAAAACAATCTGCAGTCGGGGCACCCAAGCAGTAACGAATTTCTTCATTATCAAAAAAATAATTTAACAACAAAATCTTACATTGAAAATTCAATAATTATTTATATATTACTTACATATGAAATGATAATAATTCAGCAAATTAGATAAAAAATGATAAATAAATTATAGGAATCCTACAAGCAACAGCGCATAATGCTCCTCCAATCCAATTTCGAAAGTCGTATGTGCACAAGAATTATTATAGAAAAAAAGAGAAATCGCTTGGAGAAGATTTAGCGCTTTTTCCTAACGTGACGATTCCTAACAGTCAAGCTCTGCCGCAAGGCGTTCTGAGCTTTAAGAATGTTGCCAAATACGAAAATAGTCGAATGTATTGGAAAATTTTCCCCCTTACCGAAAACCTCTCATAGATGTGGTAGCTCCTGACAAAATAAAACTTACTTTGTATTTTATTTAAATCACTGAACGAAAATCAATGAAATACGTAACGGAAAGATTAAGATTTACAAATCATATATTGTTTCACTATACTCACGTATCTTGGAGATAAATTTGGATTTGTAATCTCTCTTGTAATCTCTGTGTTCGAATCTATGCCTTGCAAAATTAAAGATGTGTATCGTCAACCCTCACTACGGCCACGTAGTGAAGTTGTTTGTAACGTAACACCTACGTATGTGGAACATAGTGGTCTAGTTTCAGTGAAGTTTTAATGTCGTTTATTTGTTTATTTATGTGCCTCCTGTGACTGTGTTTATGTTAGTTTTAGTAAAGTATAATTTTTCTCAAAATCTAATGTGTTTTGTGAAGTTTAAGGACAGTTTAATCAATAGCGTAGAGATTGTGTGAAATAATATATTGTTTTAATTACTGGTAAACAAAAATATGCACTCAAAGAAACTCATCATATAAAAGACACTTTGAAAGAAAAACATTTATCTAGTCCGAACTAATTTTTAATAAAATATTGTAATTATTTTTGATTTCTGATAACGCAGAAGAAGCGGTAGATCTAGCAACATCTCATTATTAATAAATGATAAATTAGCGTAGACTTATTTTATAATTTTAACTGAATTGAATGTTTGATTCGTCAACACAGAGTCTATGCCACTTTATTTTTTTTTTATTTATCGTATGGCATTCGCTTACACTGCGTGGTTATAATTGAAATTTACAGTTTGTGATTAGGGTTTTATAATTGACGCAGTGTAGTTGGAACCGGGAGATCCTCAGGAGGACAGTTCGATTGCCAGGTTGTTGCACTATTAGCACCACCCAGGGGTCACGTGTAGGGTAGCGGTGGGTAATCTCCTACGGACGTTATGCAACTTCGACCCCTCGCCACTTGCCACTTGAACTACATACTTGTAATTTTGGCAGTTGATGTTTTTATCTTGTGAGCATCCACTAATGAAGAATGTTTAGAAATTTGATCCCCAAGGAGATAAAGTAAGAGTTGAATGATAGTATGGAGGTCATTTTTCAAATTAACAAAAACGAAATTTAGTAGTATTAATATGAAATAAATTATAAACGTTTCTAGTTTGAATGAAATAGATAATGGGTTTGTTGGACTTTTATTCCAATATTTTACTGTTAAGTGGTTGAACAAGTTTATATGAAATTGTCACTTTGGATGGACTTCATAATTAAAGAGAAAATATTCATACTTCGAACCTTATTTTAAAATACACGCGAGCGAAGCCACTGATATTGAAACTGATCACTGAAACAGTGAAACTGACACTGATGTTGAAATTGGAACCTAAGTAAGACAATATAGTAAAGATCCACCGGCAAGAACTCGGATGTTATGTAGTTTTAATTAGTAATTCCGAAGAGAGAAGTATTTTAGATGCTTACAACCAGCCCATGATAAAAATATTGAAATATTTTATATGGAAACAACTCGTTTCATGAACAAAAGAATTCAAAGATTTACCTCGATGTATCGATCATCGTAAGTTGACTGGAGTTCAGGTCCGACCATTTCTAAGATCTGCCGTCTTTCTTCTCGAAAATCTGCGAAGTATAGTACCATTTAATTTATTGAGATAGGCTTACTAGTGGTAGGACCTCTTGTGAGTCCGGACGGGTAGGTACCACCGTCCTGTCTATTTCTGCCGTGAAGCAGTAATGCGTTTCGGTTTGAAGGGTAGGGCAGCCGTTGTAACTATACTGAGACCTTAGAACTCAATCTCAAGGTGGGTGGCGGCATTTACGTTGTACGTAACCACTTAACAACAAGCGGGCTGTGAGCTAGTCCATCCATAGATCCAATAAATAAAAAAAGATATTTCCAAATTTAATTGGAAAAGCTTAAGTAATGCGTAACGTGATATTGTTTTAGACTCTTGTTCGTTCAGTGTTCAATTTAACTAACGTTAACAAATAAATGAATAATAAAATGAGATTAAATTTGTATTTCATGACAGTTGACATTAAACATTTTTACACATACTATAAAAATAAATGTCCTGTAATAAAGTTATATGACTATTATGTGAAAAACCAAGATAATGATAAGATGAAGATAATAATAATGATGAAGGTTTCCAATTTAAAAAAAAAGTGTGTGTGTGCAAGTCACACACGGTAGAAGTGAAACTAAAAACTTTAAAAATAATCGCAAGGGTCAACCACTCCGCAGTGCAATGGAGCAGCCCGGGGGAACCGCCTGCTTGATTACGGTATCCCGACGCCAGGTGGGTATGATTTAGCAAGAGAAATACGAGAACGTCTATCAACTGTATAACATCTCGTCACCGCGATTCATGAATTGTTGAATTTACGTGCAGCGACATCTGTTGATAACAAACTAAATAGAAATAAAATAAACATGGCGCGTAACGGAAAAAATGAAGATGGCGCGTAACCGAAAAACGTTACATATGTTTTTTCCTCTCTACTTCGATAAAGAAGTTTCACTTCAATTTAACGCCTATTATTAATCGTATTTTAGGATCTTACCATTGTATACGGAAGCGACGAATATCTTGACGGCACGAGGTCCAGGCCACTTGTCACTGAGCTGTGTGTTTCCCTGCAGCGCTTGGAGCACCAGAGGCTCCGGAGAGCTCATCGCGACCCCGTTCTTCTTTACCTCGCTTCGAACTTCTTACATAATGCCACGGACATCTGTTGAACAAGAGGACTCTTTGTGTATTTTGGTTACAGAAAACATCATGACACGCTCGATTAATGGTATATTGTCTTTTAGCTAGCTTAAGTCATCTGACGACTTAACAACTTATGCTATCTTGTGACTGACTCTGTTGTGCAGTAATTAGCAACCCTGAGTGTTGTGCCGGGGGTCGTGGGTTCGATTCCCACATCGGGCAAACATTGTGTGATGAGCAAGTTTGCTTGCTCTTTGTCTGGGTGGCTATTAAATATATATTTAAAGATATATAACTATGTCTCTGGTACCCACAGGGAATCCTAAATCGGGACCGGATTGCCGTGCGTTATTTGTTCCCAGTTTATTATTATTATTATCAAATTTAACAATATAAATAAATTTCTGTTTAGAAGCACGTTTTTGTCATTAAAATTCAGGTTACATGTATCGCCCGAGACCACGGTTAGCCTGCTTATGACAGAGCCGAGAGCATGGCCTGTTGATGACAGCTGACAATTATATCTGCTCATCCTAAGTAGAAAAAAAAAATCACAACGAACTCTCCCATTTCATTTAAATATTGCGTTGTACATTGATTTTTCAAAAATAAATTAGGTAAAAGAAATGACAAAAAATTATAAATAAATTATAATACTGGTTTAGTACGTACATAATCATACAATAGGTTCGTTCTGATTTAATTAGTGTTCGTCCAATGATCGAAATTGCATCGTAATCACTGACTATCCGATTTAGACTAGTTTTAATTGGTATCTCTTTTGTTTTGTTATTTATTTATTTAGGTGACGTTTAAACTTGTATAAAATAATAGGATTGTACCTATGAAGTTATCGTATACTGGCAATTTTAAAGGAAATTTTGTGTGTGACTGACAATACACACATTAAAATGTAATTTGTTTTAAATTCGGTAGTTTGTTTATTTATTAGTGTTTTGTTTTCAAGTATACATTTGTATATTTTTCATCAATATGAACATGATAAAAATACGAGTAATTATGAAATATGAGTTTCGATGCGGTAGCAATGCCGCACTAACGGCTCATAACGCTAATGATGTCTACGGAGTGAACACTGCAAACGAATACACGCCTCGTTATTGTTTTGGACCATTCCAAAACCATTCCATGTTTTGGACCACTCCAATTTGTAGTTAAATAATAAATCGCGTGGTCGCTCCAAACTAAAGATAACAAAGACATATATATTAAAGGCGATAGTAGAAGCTGACGTTACTAATTCACCGTTAAGTTGGCAGTAGCTTTTAATGTTAACAAAGTTAGTTAATTATTCATATTATATTTATATCAAATTGACAAAGTAAAAAAACATAACAGTGTGCTGCACGAATTCAACGATCGAAAGCATTAAGGTATGTCTTGCTTTGCCAGAGAAACCAAGAGTACTTAAGCCACATTGACACTTACAATGCACCTAGGCATTGCTTCAAACGAAAACTTATCCCTAAAAAAATCATGGTGCTTAGTGGTCTAGTGCCGGCCTTATTCATGAGCTTTTTATCAAATGACACTAGCGTTACTGTGGAATTGTACTGTGAGAAGCTGGACACAGCAATGGAAAAGCTTGGGAATCTCCAGTCAACCTTGGTTAATCGTTTTTTTTAAGGATTGAATGATTACTGGTGGCCCGGAGGACTTTCCAGTTTCACCAGGACAGGTGGGCGAGCAAAAGCTCTGGAAAACCCAAGAGGGGTGGGATTTGCTAACAGCTGTCCGAAAATCTCTCGTCCTCGCTGCTCCTACATGATAACGCTCGCTATGAGCACTGCCAGTGAGGTGTCATATAGCCTCAAATTATACTTTAGATACCGCCTGTTGTGTCTAAGTACATACGCAAGAGCGTGTTTAGAAGTTTTGCGTCATCTACCGTACTCATGAAACTTGCACCGATAGACTTCTATTTTTTCCAAAGTTTGGAAACTTGGTAGGGAAAAATTCATTACTCGAGAGGAAATACGGTATGCATTTGAAGAAAAAAAACATTTAAAAAAAAGTCTTTAACTTTCTCTATACTAAATAGAAATTTCGTAAGTAAAAGACCTAATATATAAAAGATATAAAATCAATAACAACACAACACATTGTATAGTTACAACATGTTACTTTTACCAGACATTCATAAATTAATAGTTAGGACAAGCGCCTATTCCGAACATCCATCATCCAAAAGTTCAGGTAACTGTTTAGAGAGTTGAAGTTGGTTTTCAACTTTCTGAATTAGTTTTATGAATAAGACTTTTTTCTAAATAGAACACAGGCGATGAATACCCGTTCATCTCAAATTGAGATCGGATACAAAGGGAACCTTAATCAAAAGCTACTTGGAGTATGAACAATGTCGAAGTTTCAATGCCTTGGTATATATAATATTATATATTAAAATATCATGAATCTGAAGAAAGTAAAAAAAAAATTTTTTTTATTTCTTTTCTTGATTTTTTATATTACCTTTGGTTAGTTTTTATATTATGTAGACTATTTCTAAGTCAGTGTTGTAAATTTTGTAAATCTTTAAGTGTTATTGTTCATTTACCGAACCTTATTCTTAGGCAAAATAATTCATTGCCAATTCCGGTCTGTTTCGAGTTTCTTTACAACACAAACTTTTAGTTGGAAAATAATAAACCGGGAAACGTATGTACGCCTTTCTCGTGTTCTCAACAAAACTTACTTCATTTTGGTAGGCTACGTAAAAAGTAAGCTGATTTCTAAGGAGTTCTTGTTCTTACAACGCAATTTCACATACTAAGTTTGTTTATACTGTAGGTTCTTCTTCTCAATCGTGTCACTCTTGATAGAGTGGTCATGATCGTCATGTAGAGTTGGAAGGGGCAGACTTGATGCGTCTCACGATGTCCCGCCATCTCTCCCTACTCGAGGCCATTCTACTGCACTCACTTAGGCGACTTCCCACTGCAGTTTTAATTTGGTCGGTCCACCGCGTTGGTGATTGTAAGTTACAAATTATTTAATTACTGAAATCATGTTGCTTGGTATCCGTTGATTTTATTGTTTGGACACGCCAATAAAAGCGATACGGTATCAGTAAAAGGTTTATTTTATATTTAATGAGACTGCTTTATTTAAAGAAATGTTGATCTAGGGGAGACAAAGCAGTAATGCGTTGTGGTTTGAAGGATGGCAAAGCTGTCATAGTGTACGAACGGGACATACTTTCTCATGTTTAGATGTGGTGGCTTTCTTGTTTAATGTCCATGGGTTCCAGTAGCCATCAAACACCAGGTGGATCGTGAAATCGTTCAATCGTCTAAGGAATACAATAAAAATGATCACGAAACCCACGGCGATATCGGGATTTAAGAAAGATTGACTATTTGAGATTATGTAGATTAGATATTCCCAAATTACTTTGGGGGACAAACCTTTTTTCCAAAATTTTTTTTTGATATCAAATATAAGACCTATTAATATTTAAGTGAATCTGTACTAGTCTTTGACTTGGAATTAATGTTCACGGCAGAAGGCAAAATGATGTATTGTACCTATAATATGAGATTATAGGAGGCCGATTTATTTATTTCTATTTGTGGTTACTTTTTTTACACAGCCTATAATTGATGTTCAAGATATTGTATGAGCTCTAGATTTCAGATTGTTATGAAGGAATAGCTGGTGACCTGGAGGTCATTCCAGATTCATCAGGATGAGTAAACTCTGGCTAAATTAAGATAGCTGGAATTTGCTAGCAACCACCCGAATGTCTCTGATTGAGGTCTAACAGTTCAAGGACAACTGATTCGCGAATACATCTATCACGTATCGGAATCGCGTATTTGAAGTATTTGTGTATTAAAAGCACAAAGGGCGGACTACCGTGAAATCGAGCACATAGATTTTAAATAGACTAAATTCATAATTATTTATCCTAGACTCAGTAGAGTCTTTCTTTGTAAATTTCGAAAGCTAGATACCATGGGGCATGTACGCAGTACAGAAAAGCCGATAAGCATAATGCTTTGATACTTGTTTGTAATCTGCGTACTCTTGTATATGAGATATGAATGATTTGTAATCAACGGATTACGAATTTCAATAGTTAATATAGACGTGCTCAATTTCAGATAGAAATTAACGTATGTTTTGAACACGTAATTTCAAAATGTAATAAAAAGTTATTCCGCTGCCGTTTCTGCTGTTAAATACCTGTATATAATTTAATGGCTTTATGTTTATTTTGAGTATTAAATGTCAACATCACCAGTCTACGTTGGTTTACAGCCAGTCAAAGGGTTTTCCCGACGTATGATAATTTATAATCCGCGTATTCGGATCTTTCCAACTACTTTTTACCAGTCGTTATTACGTTTTTCTTGTAATTATACTTAATGATTTTATATCATACTGTAGGTACATTTTCGAAAATAAAATTGATTCCGCTTATCTAAAAAAAGTTTCTAAAAATTCAACACATCACAGTATGACAAAATTGATAGTATCTTTTTTCCACTGTAAATTCAAACTATTCTTTTTGTTTATAGTTAGTAGCTTTTCAGGAGGTTTATTATATCAATATCTTCCCCTATACAAGAAAGATGTTAATAAAAAAACCAAAGGAGTAAATTATGTAATAAATGGAATTAATGTAAATCTTGAGGGTTCAGTGACTATGATCTTGTTTCGATCATTGGGCGAATACTAGTTCACTGAAAGATATAACGTATAATACTTATCTTAGGTAGTAAAAAAATCACGGCTGAGAGTTCTCCCTGAATAATAAAAATCGATTCTCGGAGTCTGGCTTCTGACTGAAAAGTGTTAAATAATTTTCCAACAATACACATTATTTCATACTTTCCGTACATTCAACAGTTTTTCCAGAAGAACCATTCCAGATCCGAGCAATCGATGTCATGAATCAGTAATCACTCGGAGATACGTCGTGAGTCAAATTACTAATTCAATGAATATCTCGAGTGCGAGGCGCCTCGAACGTCTGGAACGAATACGCACAATCGT